GGGGGGGGGGGGGGGGGGGGGGGGGGGGGGGGGGGGGGGGGGGGGGGGGGGGGGGGGGGGGGGGGGGGGGGGGGGGGGGGGGGGGGGGGGGGGGGGCGCGTACTCTTATGTGTTGCATGCCTTAGCGGTTAGACCATTGAACGCGCGTCCTCGAGAGGACGGAGCATTGTTTCCACAGGACCGATAACCGATGGCCAATCGTTCCTTTCTACTTTGCCAAAGGTGGCTCAAAACTGTTTTGCCCGGCCTATCTCTCGTATCCACATCACTTCCCGCCATGTCAACCCACTTGCGATGTCCCAGTTCAGCTACCTTCCTCTCCTGGCTATTCTTTGCTTCAAACATCTCCCGGTATGTTCCTTCTACTTTTCCCAATTCAGTCATACCCTTCCCTCTGCATCTTGTATAACGGACATTTCGCAACTACATGAACCCGCTTTTCGCTCTCGGAGCCGCAATCACGTTTGAACTTGTCCTCTTCATCGTCTACCTTCCAAAATATATCTTCGTCTATGTTCTCGAAGGCCAATGTCCCCGGTCCTGAATTTGACCATCAGCTTGTCGCTGCAGCTATTGGTCCAAGCAGGTACTCCCTGAACTATATTCCTTCTTCCAACATGCCGTACAATTCTAGAACCCCTTTATCGTTGGTTGCTTTGTTTGGAATATTTTTTCTCTCCGCCAAAGCAACAAATATCTTCTCCTTTAACCCCTCTACATCTTCTGCTTCCAGCATGTCACCTTCGCCATTTTCGAACTCCTTCCATACGTCATCTTCAACCTCGACCCACTCTATGAGTTGTCTACCCCCTTCTTTCTTACCAACTTCACCTCCCAAGCTATTCTTGATAACCTCTTCTCTCCCATACCGCACATGCGATACTGCCATTTTAGCTTCCTCGCGTATCTTCCCCATCGTAGGGATCGGATCCCCGGTTCCGCCCTGACGGCTGCCCTACTTAATCACATGGAGCATGCTAGGATGATTTTCGATGCTTTTATCTGCGCCGCCTCGAGCTCTTCCACTACCTTCTTGTTTCCTTCCAATACTTCTCCGGCGTATTCTAGAGCAGTATGACTACGCTCTTCGAAACTGTCAAATGATGTGTGTATCGAGGTGCTTGTTTGCGAGTATTGGGTGCAGCTTCCCTGGTCGTGCTTCGCCCTTTTCCGTTACCTTGGATATGTGTGCATTCCACGAACAGTCTCTGGCGATATCTACTCCGAGATATGTGTACTGGTCGACTACTGCAAACTGTACTATCCCCTACTTCCATCTATACTCTACTGGTTTCTCCCTGTCCTCGTTGCATCCCATGACGGCAATCTTCTTAACGTTGGCAGACAATCTCCACTCATCAGCACAATCATTGGCTGCGTCAATGTGCTGAGGCCCTCAGGGGTGTCAGACATGCCAATAAAATCACCCGCAAACAGCATTCCCGACACCAAAGTTTCCCATACCTCTATTCCCTTCCCAACTGCTGTCTCTACGACTTTCGACAGACCGTTGATGAACACTGGAAAAGTGTTAGGGACAAAGTGCAACCTTGTGGGACCCCCTCGAGAGGCGGAGGGGGCGTGGAGGGGGCGTATACACGGTCGTGCATGCCGTAGTCGTTAGAACATTGACCTCGCATCCCTACAAAGCCGGGACGGAGCACGCCGGGTTCTCACCGGACCAGGCTCTCACATCACCAAGCGCGAAGCGCCGTGAGATATTCGGCGAGTCGCATGAAGGGTGCGCTGCATCCTGCTATAATAAGGGTGTTCGGCATCTTGTGCTTACTTCCATGCATACGGATGACAGCTGCGATATACATAGTTTACTTTCTCGTGCTTTTACTTCCAGAGACAGTTATGAAGACTGCTGGTAACTGCCTCGAGGGTGCTTGACCATTTTAACACAACGTGGTGCGATCATCCCCCTTGCGCGGAGTGAGGGTTCTCGACCCCGCACAACATGATCTACTCGACCACCATTCATGGTTACTGTACGGCAAAAAACAAGCGGTTCAGAGTAACCTGGTTGCCGAGCTCACGAAGTGATCGGCTTGTTTTACAACATCGCTGCCAGGCGACGAAAGCCCTACCCGAACACCGGGGAGGGCGGCTTGTATTACAACGTCGTTGTCAAGCGACGAAAACCCAACCACGATGGCAAGCACCGGGGCGAGGGGGTGGGGGCTAATTTATGTGTACGGATTTTTTTCCGCGTATACCCTTGCTTGAAGGCCAAACCCACCAACATCACTTCGACCCTGACCGAAAAGTATGATGCAGCCGCTTGTGGGTTAGCCTACAAGCGAAGGGGCAAACCGTGCCTCGGGGAAACGAAGCGACGATCGTCAAATGCACATGCCATGTATCCAACTTTTATGCATACCAAAGAACTTCCACAGATAAGAGTCCGTGGTATGCATACATACAAACGAAAGAGCTGAAGCTGAATCCTTTGAAAAAAACGTGAGCCATGTATCATGCATATGCGTCGAGTACACAGTTTAGCAGTGTTTCCCGTTCCCTTTCTCACTCCGTGTTCCTCACTCCGTGATACGCGCCTTCTGATCGTTTACGTAATCAGGTCGCGCGCTGTACATCAAACAGAGCCAAAATTGACCACTTGACTGGGGGGAAATACTGCTGTTGTCTTTCTCTCCCCTGCATGGCTCCCCGGCCTGCCCCCTGCGTCCCTGGGGTAGGCCGAGGTTCCGCAAGTGGATCTAGACCTCGACATACCACCCAGTAAAGACGGATATACGGTCCCTAGCACTGTTGAAAGGGGGATCCTGAGTTGGCGGTTGGGAGTTACTGCTGTCGTGAGATCGGGGTAGCTCCTGAGCCGCCAGCTTTGGTAGCTGCAAATGAGACTGGATCCTGACGCCCCGGCTTGGACACCGGGGCTATGCAGCAGCAGAGAGCACGGTGAGGGTGGCGGAGTGGCCGCATGCCGTGGGGGTATGCCCCAGAGAGAGGAAAGGAGAGAGTCCAGAGATGAAGGGCCACACCGCTCCGGGACAAGGAGACAACTCTATGGGAAACAAGGCAAGAACCGTAACTGTCACGTTAGCCCGAGTGTTCGCAAAGAAAGTAAAGAAACAAAAAAAGACGGGAAGCTGGAGGAAAAGGTGGGGTCGGGCGGCGCGTAGGCTAGCTAAGAGAGCAGCGCGCGCCGCGCGAAAGAGACAGCAGGGTCAACCTCTTAGGGTAGCAACCTGGAATGTGCGGACTTTGGCTGTAAACGCGGCTAGTGAATACGGGCGAGCCTACAGCGTTCTACACGGGGCAGCGAGACAAGACGTATCGGTGGTAGGAATGCAGGAGACATGGAGGGCAGGTCGAACGGAATTTGCAGCAGCGGGTTGCCGGGTGTTCTGCTGTGGTACGGAGGCTGGTGGAGTCCATGGTGTGGGGATAGCCGTCAAAGAGTCATTGTGCAAGACATCCACGTTCGCTACGGAGTTTATCGACGAATGCCTTATGGCCATGAGGTTTCTGTTGGCAAGCCACCGTGGAGCGGTCAACTTCGTAGCCGCGTATGCTCCAACCGAACCTTCAACCACCGACAGCAAACGCGTGTTCTGGGGAAAACTTGACAGTCTCGTGCGGAGGATCCCTTCCAAAGAATGTGTGTAGTCCCACTGGACGCCAACGCGCAGACGGGAGATAGGTTCGAGGGGACGGAAGAGTAATAAGAATGTACGGGCGTGATGAGCTCAACGACAATGGCATGCTACTATTGGATTTCGCAACGGAAAACAGGCTAGCTCTCACGAACATGTTCTTTGAGACACGCGAGGGCGGAAAATGGCACACATACAACGGTGTGTCGGGAAACGATTGCAAGCGCCTTGACTACATCCTGACAAGGCAGGCACATCACGGCCGAGTATCTAACGTGTTTGTCATCCCCCAGCCGGTTCGCCCAGTCAAAGCAGACTCAGACCACAATATGGTAGCAGCCACCGTCAACCTCGGTGGCAGGCTTGCCCACAACCGTGCAGCCCGGACTAAACCGAAACAGAAGCAATTCAACCGACGGCAACTGCAGTTCGAAGCAGCACGGTGTGCGGTGACTAATCGGTTCCTCCTCAACCTCGACACACGACTGGACGAGCGAACAACCACCGCCGCGGAATTGGCGACCAACTTTACCAATGCTCTCCTCGAAGCAGCGCGGACAACCCTGGGGTAGGAACCGCGGAGACGCCGCACGCAGGAGTGGTGTGAGACCCCAGAGACGCGAGCAGCGCTGCAGCAGGCCCTTACCAAACGTCAGGAAGCGCGCCGGGCGATGAAGGGCAACTNGCCCACAACCGTGCAGCCCGGACTAAACCGAAACAGAAGCAATTCAACCGACGGCAACTGCAGTTCGAAGCAGCACGGTGTGCGGTGACTAATCGGTTCCTCCTCAACCTCGACACACGACTGGACGAGCGAACAACCACCGCCGCGGAATTGGCGACCAACTTTACCAATGCTCTCCTCGAAGCAGCGCGGACAACCCTGGGGTAGGAACCGCGGAGACGCCGCACGCAGGAGTGGTGTGAGACCCCAGAGACGCGAGCAGCGCTGGAGCAGGCCCTTACCAAACGTCGGGAAGCGCGCCGGGCGATGAGGGGCAACTGGAACTCAGCGACGTGGAGGGTTCTCAAAGCAGCGTGTAAGGGAGTGGCTACAGCAGTCGAAACGGGCATTTATGCCCACCTGGACGGATATGTGACTGAGCTCGAAGAAATCTACAAAGATCGCGACATGCGAGGACTGTACCAACACCTCAAGAGATCAGTGGGCCTCAGCGGGAGACAAGCGGGGGGACAGCAGTTCGTCGCGGATGAGAACGGCGTGTTGCTCCGGAACAGGGACGGCATCCTCCAGCGGTGGGCGAGTTTCTTCAGCACCCTACTCAACACCGAATTCCCCACCCTGAACCCACACATCATCGAACGAGTGACGCAGTANAGCAATCTACAAAGATCGCGACATGCGAGGACTGTACCAACACCTCAAAACATCAGTGGGCCTCAGCAGGAGACAAGCGGGAGGACAGCAGTTCGTCGCGGATGAGAACGGCGTGTTGCTCCGGAACAGGGACGACATCCTCCAGCGGTGAGCGAGATTCTTCAGCACCCTACTCAACACCAAATCCCCCACCCTGAACCCAGACATCATCGAACGAGTGACGCAGCGGCCAGCGACACGTGACACTCAACGGTTGGGAGATGTGCCAGAACTCGAGGAGGTGGCACGGGCAACGAAAGGCCTCAAGAACTGGAAGGCACCCGGCCATGACTCCCTCTCTGCCGAGTTGCTCAAGATCGATGACGACGAACCCTTCGTCCTGGGACACCTCCATACCATCCTCGTCAAGGTGTAGAACGGAGGAGATATTCCGCGAGAGTGGAAGGATGCAACCATCAAGGCGCTGTGCAAGAAGGNAAGAACTGGAAGGCACCCGGCCATGACTCCCTCCCTGCCGAGTTGCTCAAGATCGATGACGAGGAACCCTTCGTCCTGGGACACCTCCATACCATCCTCGTCAAGGTGTGGAACGGAGGAGATATTCCGCGAGAGTGGAAGGATGCAACCATCAAGGTGCTGTACAAGAAGGCTGACCGGTCCAACTGTAACAACTACAGGGGGGTTTCGCTACTATCTCACGTAGGCAAGGTCCCCATCAAGATCATCACCAACCGTCTAAGCGCCTTCTCCCAAGCCAACGACATCCTCCTGGAGGAACTGTGCAGATTTCGACCCGGGCGATCCACCGTCGACATGCTGTTCGTCATGCGCCGCCTCCGGGAGCTGGGGCAGAGAAAGAAAATACCGCTCTACAGGTGCTTCGTCGACTTGGAACAAGGCGTATGATTCGGTGGACCGAGAGATGCTATGGAAGGTGCTGGCCAGGGCCGGGATTCCCGCGAAGCTGATCGA